CGTCAGGCATGCGTATCCGGTGATCTTTGTCCGTTCTTTCACATACTTGTACCCAGGAAATGTATTTTTGTCACAACCTTGTTTGCAACACCGGATGACTTTTGGATAGACAGCCAATCCATTGAAGAATCAATGCTACGATTCAATGTTTTGAAGGTGGGTTAGATGCTACTAACCTCAACCAACGTGACTTGATCGTCTTGATAAAATATTTCATATTTCATGCCTGACGAGCGGCAAGAACCGCGAAACCGGTCATGTGCTTCGAGGGAAATTTTGTCCAGTCGTTCACATACTACTGAAACAACATCACAGAAAATGATGGCTCAGTGTACAGGGAGCAGAGCAATATGGAAAAAGAATAAGTAAGAGAAAAAAACAAAGGCAAACTTTATGAGTGTCCGTTTGTCACGTCCTAAAACTCGGTTAGAAAAAATCGTCCTGATGGTGAGGAACGGTGGATTCATGCGGGAGTGAGTGAACCAGATGGTCACTGAAACACCATGACTGTCTGAAAACCGATACGCGTTGCGAAAATTCGTGCATTGTACGTCAAGTGTGGACATGTTACAGTGAGCACACCGTGTATGTGTGTGTGCACACGATGCATCATATGGTGTTCCTCAACCACAATTTAGTATGCTAAGGACTGGAAACCATGGTGCATGATTAATACTGATACAGTGAAGTGTCATACAACTGAATTCAATTGTGTTCGTCTTCTTGTGATACCTAACGTGTGTGTGTTCGACAGGAATGAAGTGAACGAAACCTTGACCGAAGATATGAAGGTTTACCATACGACTTAGAACTGGCAGTTCCAGAGGCAAGTGCGAGTTTACGAGTTTAGCGGACTTGTGTCCTACCGAGAGCAGCTCCAGGTCGCGAACGGGTCAATGATCCCTTTGGGGTTCACTGTATCTCGGTGGATATGTCCCCACCGAGTGCTTGAGGACATGGCATACTCCCGTTGGGGAAAAGACACCGATACATGCAGAATGCATTGCAACTTATGCAAATTTGGCCCGTCACTGAAATCGCTGTCATCCAATTAACCAAGGGATAACAGCTGACCGTGTCAAAACAAGCGGGTGATTCTCATGGGAAAAAACGTCCAGTATTACTGGGGCTAATGCCTAGTGTTACATTCTCAAGCTGCAGCATGAAACGGACATATCTCCATTAGGTAGTTTACCCAGAAATGTGCTAATAGAACAAAGAGTCCAGGTAAGTTAGTGTCTTCAGGGCTGGTCTAATAGTCACTGGCTGATAGTATGGCTAGGTGCCTTTAATGTTGTTTTTCTTTCGATTTACCATTCTCCTGGGCGTATGATTCGATAAACCAGTTACCAGCCCCCAATGGATTGCGGTTTCCACATACCACCCCACTACCTTGAGGGTGAGGCATTGGCTATCCGAAGGCTCCGGTTGTAGATTCCCCAAGAAAATTCACCTGCCTTGGTCTGAGCAACCTGGCAATATTCCGCCCACATGCAAATCATGGAACATTTTTCTAGCTGTAAATTTCTCCAGTTACCGTGTAGTCAGCCTCCGAAATCCTCAGTATGATCG